TATTTGTAGCCGAAAAACCTATGCTATCTCTCTGAATATGAGATCTTCCTGAAAACTCGATGCGAATTCGAATTCCTTAATGACAGCAATAAAATGAACTGATTCACAATAAACACCTCCAAATTTATTAATTATTTTTTTGACAGTAACTATTGAATGAATTTATGCCGAAAACTTATCACTGTCGAGTCTTGAAGATGGACAGATCTGCATACAATTACTAACAATACGAGGAAGAATAGCTATTATAAAAGGAAAAATCTGAATGAGTTCCTGAATTGATAAGAGGAGCTAATACTATTAAAAAATGTTTAATTTAGTTTGCAATTGATGTGATTTACTTTGAGCAAAAAGTTGATGGGTTACATATAACATCGCTGCTTCTGTGCTCTGTTATTGTCAGTTCAGTATACAGGTAAAAGTGTTTTGACCGGAAACACTCTCAATTTAGCTACTTCCGCAAGTATCGCATCGTTATTATCAAGTAATGTCTCTCGGAAATGGTCATTACTGTGATGATTCAATAACGCTGTCTCGGAAGTTGTAATTAATGTAAATTTGCGTTGTTATGTCATCTTTCATTGTTATGATTATTAGTATTACACGTTGATGTTATTATCATTATTGTTGTCGTAGTGCAATTGCTATCAAATTGACTGTAAACGAATTCAGCAACCAAAAGAATATGAAGGACATCGTATCAATCAGACAAGAGAACAGAGACAGATAAACCCAGAAATTTGAGATGGTATGTAGACAATGATTTCTGAGCCAGTACCAGGAGGAGGGCAATGTGATCCAAAATAATCCGATTCGGGGCTAACGAACTTCCACTGGAACAGACACTCTCAGATAATGCTAATGATCAGAAACACCTTCTTAAGACTGAGCTCGTGAAAATGGACGATTGAGACGGAGAGAAAAATGAAGGATGGAAAGTGCATGTGAATGAATGTTCACATCCTCAGAAAGAGCACATGACTCTAGACTTTCGCTATGAGATCTCAGAGCTTAGAACATAAGCAAACGAATAGCAGATCTTATAACTGCCCTCACCCTCATTGCGTCCCTAGACTACTGCAGAGGATCACAAGAAGAACAGTAAGACAATCTGTAACTCCTATCTGAAAGCATTTATTTACCTATCTCAAACCTGAGCAAATGCTCCTACAGACACAACGTCGTCTTACCTACTGCATATATAAACATATACAAACAATTCTACGCATCTCCACAAAGCACCCCTCATTCTGAATCAAGGTCATCATCCAAATTCTAATACCTTTTAATATGTATAGGTGTTAATAGAGCAAATATATTGAGAGTGAACACATGCAAGAATAGAGGACAATATAAGACATATAATACATATTTGAATCTGATAGTGAGTAGTGCGATGATTATTTAATTATCTTACTTATTCGACATTCCAATCGAAATATTCATCATCGACAGATAGGTAATGGAAACGGAGTTAACACAGAATCAAAATTTGATTTGTTACTTACAAATTAAGTTTGAGAGTAAAAGAAGTGCATTTCTTATGTAGCAACTAACAAATGGAACGAGATTGAAATCATATTTGTCTAAATATATTTACCATACGGATGATGATGACTATCATCGAATTAGGAGTAAGTGAAATGCAGGATCGGCAAAACTGGAAACGAAAAACAAAGATTCATAACTACTTCTCAACCAATTACTATTTTCAACTCTCTTGATTTGCGATTTTGCACCTCTTCAAACTACGCCCGCACTTCTTCACTCGCCATTCAACTAGAACATTCACTTTAATATTTCCTACTTCCACAAATCAGTAAATGTATCGCCACAATTTTTTGCTTACGATATTCTTGTTTCTATGATACTGTATTCATTGTTTTACTCACATATTCCTCCTT